AAATATCAAAATGTCTTTGTTCTTCCATTAACTTTACTACCTGCTTTATACTCTCATGCTTCCAGATAGATCTCACCCCCACTAATGAAATAATAGGTGCTTTTGTCTTTACCTAGATCTGTCCCCTGAGCCCTGGGCTCTTCCCTTTCCAGACAGCCAAACTTACTTCCACTTTTGGCTTTAAATTAATAACACAAAATGATTTTTCACTGTAACTAGTTTCAGTAGACATGAAAAGAAATAGACTATGCTTGGCATTACAGTCTGAGAACATAACTATCCCCGATCCCTAGGAGAATAACTAATTTTCTCCTGAAAACAAAAGGAAAGGGGAAAAATCTGACCTGTGTTTTGATTCCAGGAACCTCTCAAAATATCGTTACCATGTTATTTCCGCCGCCCCAGGTGACCATTGCTATTATTGAATACTCAGAATGCTGGCAGGCTGAATCTGTTTTTCAATTCTAGCTCATTGCACTGTGTGTGGTTCCTATGAATGCTTTTATTTAGTAGTCTGGAGACTTAGAAACTAATTTCTTTTGTTTTTCTTGGAAATGTGCAGTTTTATTTTTGTTTCTACACTGAGGTGGAAGCTATAAAATCTGCTAAACAAGTGCCAGGAAACTCGGCCTCAGGGCTGAACACAACTTGGTGCAAAGGCTCCTGGTCTCATTTCAGGTGCACGTTTAAAAAATTGCCTCTTAATCAGTTGAGTTGCTTTTCTCAAAATGCCTGGGTAATACTGGCTTTAAAAAAAAATAATGTGATTCTCTGATATTCCTCCTTTTAGAAAAGTAGATAAACTAATGTGTGAGAATATGCACCTGCTCCCATTTCTGCAAAGCACTGCTCTTAATTGGGGAACTTAAATTTCCTTTTATTTACTCTTTTAATCAGCTACAGCTTAATTACTGTGAAAGGTACAGTTCAATACAGTGTACAGTTCAATACAGTTTTATTTATCCATTCTGTATCTATATGTAGAAATAGAAATCTGTGAAACTGGCCACTCAAACCAAGAAATGGAACCAATCCAATCCCCCACAAGGTTTTCTCATGCGTCTTCCTTGTAAAAACACAGAAAAAAGTTCAAATGCAACCATTATTTTGCTTCTCTCACTATAGTTTTGCTGATGCTTGAACTTTATACAAATAAAACCATTGAGTCTGACTTTTTTCCACTAGTAAGTCTGTGAGATCCATCCATGTTCCATGTGGCATTCTACATCCTATATAGCCCTCCACTGTGTGAATATATTGTAAATTATTTTATTACCACATGCTTGGGCTTCCCAGGTGGTGCTCGTAGAACCTGTCTGCGAATGCAGGAGACATAAGAGACACGAGTTTGATCCCTGGGTTGGGAAGATCCCGTGGAGGAGGACATGGCAATCCACTCTAGTATTCTTGCCTGGAGAATCCCGTGGATCCCATGTAGCCTGGCAGGGCTAAAGTCCACGGGGTTGTCAAGAGTCAGACACGCCTGAAGAGACTTAGCCTGTAAGCACCACCTGCTCAGGTAGGGTGTGTCGGTAGTTTCAAAATCAGAGGGTCTCGTCATGTCAGTTTTGTAACAGTCTCCCTTACCAATAAGAAAGAGTGTCATTGCTTCCCTGGGCTTAAGCACATGCTCCATTTGGTTAAACAAATATATTATTTTGAATATTTCAAGGCATTATCTGGGCACCCCATCCCATCTTGTGGGAGGGACACTTACTCCAGAGGATTACGGTTCCAGAAACCATAATGTGCATAAAGGTTAAAAAAAAAAACCAAAAACCTGTGCATTAAGGTAGGGATCCTGTGACCCATCTATTATTTGTGGTTCTCCTCAAGAAGAATCTACTCCTGTTCACTAAAAACTTGTTAAGACTTAGCAGTCCTTATGAGCTTTCTAAGTAAAATTCAACTAAGAGTTTGCTACAGTAGCTTATTGGGCCTTTACTACATGCTAATGATTCTCGTCATGGCTTCTGAATTAAGAGACAGGAAATAATTTTACACACAGAAGCACACCCTATGCTGATGTTTGATTCCCAGAAACATGATACTGGTATTACTTAGAAAGATCAGTAAGTCAGAAACCCAAGTGAGGCAGAAAGTGATAAACACAGTCTGCTCAACTACTTATAGGGTCAAATGGCGGCTAATGCCGTGTCTTTATAAGGTCAAAGAGAAGGTTCTTCTTTCAGACCAGTTGGTTAACTTCGGCTAGAAATCTTCTGTTATAGAATATCTAGACACCATGCCATACTGGCATTGAAATGTACAGAGTTGAGTATGTAGTCAAATTACCATGAGTAAAATCATCCCAAACACTAAATGTTGAAAATGGTCCATTATCTGATTCCCAAGTTATTAATGCTTTTTGGAACGATTGGGATTGCTGTTCATGGCTGCTTGAAGGTCTTTTCTTCCGTGAGCTTGCTAGTGAACGTAATGGAAGTTTCTCTCTAATTCTTACCACTTAGAAGTATACCCAAGTCTTCCCATATCATGAACAAGATAGTAAAACAATCCCCATCCCTTTTTTTCCCCTCCTTCCAGAAAATTGAGAGTCTCTTGCATCATTCACAGGTGGCAGAAATGGAAGGTTAAAAATGAAACAGTCCCATTGTGTTAATAAAACCAAGGCAAGACAAAACTGATTGCTTAGCTGGGTGACTTTTCCCACTTAAGATGAATCACTCCGTTCATGTAGTATACAGCCATCCAGTGTGGTTTCTGCTATAGGAAAAGGGTATCTATGAAAGCAACCACCTGGAAAAGTTATTTTAGGAATTACTGTGGAAAACTAGAATTCATACTGTTTTCTACAGTAATGTTTTTGCCGTGTTTGGTTTGATTTTGTTTGGTCAGAAGTAAACACTGAACTGGATTGTACAATTTGACCAAATCTCTGTGGTAGAAGAAAGAAGTATGTGAAATATACTTGTACACACACCCTTTAGGGTACATGGGATGCAGCAACTACTCTGTGACCTCTCTGCTGCTTTTCTCGCCTCAATGTTGTTTGTATTTTTCTTAAGCTCTTTAAAGGGTAAATATTTTTCATAGTTTTCTGAAGTTGAACACTGCATGAGGATTTACTCTGGCTCACTGAAAAATCTGTGGCATTTTAAATCCCCTTGAATAAATCTCTTTATATTTGTTACAGAATCAAAGCAGTAAAAATTTCATGAGGTTTGTTATAAACACTATAACCAACATCAGACATGATGAGGTTCATGTGAGTTCTCGTGAAATTATGGCATTATCTCATATAAATGTTGGAAAGTTTTATTTTTCCACCATCTTCTGGCCTTTCATAAATAAGAAAGGATGAATGAATGAATTCCTGTCTTAAGTGAACGTCATTTAGTCATGTCTGACTCTTTGCAACCCCATGGACTGTAGCCCACCAGGCTTCTCTATCCATGAGATTTCCTCTCAGGCCAGAATACTGGAGTGGGTAGCCTTTCCCTTCTCCAGGGGATCTTCCCAACCCCGGGATGGAACCCAGGTCTCCCACATTGCAAGTGGATTCTTTACCAGCTGAGCCACAAGGGAAGCCCAAGAATACTGGAGTGGGTAGCCTGTCCCTTCTCCAGCAGATCTTCCCGACCCAAGAATTGAATGGGGTCTCCTGCATTGCAGGTGGATTCTTTACCAACTGAGCTATCCGGGGTGAAAGATACAATGCTCACATGTTATTATTCAGGCTTTACCATTAGGATATGAGCTTCTCTGCCTAGGAAGAAGAGTTTTGAAATAAGTTACTTAATCCTGGCTGTAGTGCATATGTGGATGTTAATGTTGAATACATAAAGACCTCATCAAAAGCATGTGGGCTTATTCTGTAGAATTCAAAGACGATAGAACGGAGGTGTAGTCCTTCTCTAGGGAATTGACAGACCAAATGACCTGCCTGTTATTCTGTTCTGTAGAACATTTTAAGTCTTCTTACCATGTTTTAGCATCTTTAGGTAATGTTCTGTTGTGAAAAATCTCAGTTTCAACCAGCCTTTTCTATTCTAATATAAACAGATTTGTATATTTGAATATGAGCATTTATCCTTTTTCCCTGGATTTATAGCCTCGTATTGCTAACCAGACTAACAGAGAGTTTTTCTCCTGGGTCCTCAGTAATTTCCTTGGTTGTCAGTGAATACAGTGAGATTTTTTTTCTAGGCTTTCCAGTTGCTTTTAAATTACTTCATATTACACAGTTTAGCTATTTTCTTATGTCTTCTCAGAATGCAGTTAAGTGTTTAATAAATTACTACTTTGTCTACCAAATGCTTTTGCATGAAAATACTACAGAAATCCAGTAAATGGAAAATAAGGCTATGAGCTGAGGGAAGAGGTGATACCTTAAAGAAAAGCTGTTTCCTTAAATGTGAATCCTGGAATAAGACTAGTCAGTTGAGAGGTATAAAGAAAAGAATGAACAGCAGAATAAACATGGGAGAAGAGCTGGCCCTGGTGTACACAGCATCATGTGCCTGTAGATACCATACAATAAAGTGGGTCTCCTTAGAAGGCTGGCTTGGCTTAGAAAGGTTGGCTTTTCCACTTGATTATCATGGGGAAAAAAATCTACTGCTACTTGTGCTAACATCTCCATTCCCAATAGCCTCAAAATCAGAGTTTTCAAGGCAATGTTAACCATGGCTTTTTTTTTTTTTGGTGGCATTTGGAATCTTAGCTGCCTGACCAGGGATCGAACCCAGGCCCCAGCAGTGAAAGGACTGCTAGGGAATTCCCCACCATAGCTTTTTGTTTGTTTGTTTGTTTAAGAGCATCTGGAAGAAAGAGCCCTATCTTCAGATCTCTTTTAATGAGAACCAATAGTTTTCTGTATCAGCATTACCATTTACATGGTACAAATTTTAACTGACCTTGTCCTAGTTTATCCAGGTTCTCTGTGTTTCAACGATTTATCCCCAAACTTTCAAGTAGCTGTGTTAAAGAAACCTTAAAGTGGGATGGACAGTGATGGCCACACTTGGGTTTTGCAGATCCTGTGAAGCCACCTGGTAGCTCCTTACAGGCACCAGCCGATTTACCATTGGCCATAAGTACAGCGCCACCGTCCTCCCAGGGGGATGCCTCCTCTGCTGCTGTGCCGCCTCCCTATCAGCTCATCAGCCTTCCACCACACCTGGAAACCCTTGGCATCCAGGAGGATCCTCAAGACTACCTCTTGCTAATCAACTGTCAAAGCAAGAAGCCTGAACCCAGCAGGTAAACCATGCATGGTGTGCGTGCATCACTTAGGCCCCTTTCCTTGAAACATTTTTAACCCTGATGTGAAGGCTTAAAAGAAACCATCTATAGGTCATCTCTTAGGCTTACACTTCAGGGTGATGTTCCTCTGCTAATGATTTCTGATATTCAGGAGATTTTATTGAAGAAACACATTGTTGATCATTTTGTGGCTAAGAACACTCATGCCTTCATGGCTTTTTTGGAAATCTGTCTCCTGGGTCTAAGTCTTTGTTACGGACTCACAGTGTTACTTGCTTAACAGATGTCACTGATTTATAAATGGTGATCTTGCTCCATTTCTTATGTGATTGTAAACCAGCCAAGGGTCATCTTTTGTTTCTGAAGAAGGAGAGGAATACCTACTGCTAGAAGATTTTGAAAGCAAAACGATTCCATTGCAGTGAGTGTGTTGTGGTTGCCTTGAATCTGTGTGAGAAATTAATCACACAGGTAAAATCCCAATACAGCAAATTCTGTGGATTAAACAAATCAGATGTTACTAAAATTTGGCAAAATCAAATGTATTGCTAAAAACTTTGAAACTTTCAAATCTTCACACGTGGCAATGAAGCAGAGCTTACCACATGCCTTGACTTAACAGATTTTTAAGTAGAATGAAGTATATGGGTTTCAGTGCTTGACCAAAAAGTATAAAACCTTTCCCCAAGCCCAAACTGTTACCCTTTTTTTTTTAAATGTGCCCCATTTTTTTAAAGTCTTTATTGAACTTGTTACAATGTTGTTTCTGTTTTCTGTTTTGGTTTTTTGGCCGCTAGGCATGTGGGATCTTAGTTCCCTAACTAGGAATTGAACCCGCACTCCCTGCGTTGGAAGGAAAAGTCCACCACTGGACCACCAGGGAAGTCCCTCCCTGTCATCTTTATCTCTGCTCCCAGACCCCTCTCTTCTTCTAAGCTAATTATATTTTAATTGATTATTCTTCTCAGTTGATGTTCATAACTGGAAGGCTAGAAGTAGTAATAAGATTTGAGCCAGAAACAGATGATCATGATGCCTGTGATACCATCAGCAGCTGTATGACACCTCGTAAGGCTGTTGTTGTTCAGTTGCTAAGGCCTGTCCTTCTCTTTGCGACCCTATGAACTGCAGCACTCCAGGCTTCCCTGTCCTTCACTATCTCCCCAAGTTTGCTCAAACTCATGACCATTTGAGTCAGTGATGCCATCCAACCATCTCATTCTCTGTCATGCCTTTCTCCTTTTGCCCTCAGTCTATCCCAGAACTAGTAATATTGGGTACATTTCTTGTCTTAATTTGCATTATTTAAGGAGGATGTGAATTGCATTGAAATATGAAAGATATTTTTTAAACATATTAGATTCCAGAATTATTTTTATAACAAAAGAAAGATTTTTTTTTTTCATGTAGGAAATGACTGCTATTGGACCCTAGGATCATACAAACTCCTTGTTCAAAAAATTTTACGTAGCATTTGTTAAGATCCATAAATTAGTTTCTAAGAACCATTCCCTGGGATAGCGGAAGAAGCTCACAAAACTTCCAAAGATAAGTTTCTATATATTTGTTATAATGGGATTTTACCTGTAAAAGTAAAAAAAAAATTATAAATCATCACAAGTTAATAATATAAAATTCTAACTTGATTTTGCTTGTTTGCTGTGAGAATTTAAAATTATACACTCGCAACTTTGTTGCATATGCTACTAACTAAGATTTTATTTTAGGGAACTCTACAATTATTTTTCCGTATTTGCCTTTTTAAAAGCCAAGAGCTAAGTGACAGATTTCAGTACATTTTCTTTTTATGTAGCATCTTTCATCAGTCTCACTGGTATCACGGAGTTCCTGTTGTCACAGAAATTATGCTCAAAATCATTACTCAGATATATTTTGTATCTGTATTTTGCAAAAGTGACAGTTTAATAGCAAATATTTGTGAAGTATCCACTATGGGCTCACCACTTGGCTAGGTTCTACAAAGGTACAAACTAATGACATACAGCACCCTTAGGTGCAGTCACCTTCAGAGTTGAAAAGTAAAGCATGAAGTACTTATAGATGAAGGCAAGATGTGAGCTTGCCTTGAGAACTATGTTTGTCCTGCAGGACTGAGCTGAGACTTCTGCTCATCTACGAGACCTTCCCCCAAACACCCAGGCAGGATTACCTGTCTCTGGGTTTTCACAGCATCCTAGTTGTGCCTCCGTGTCTCCAAGAATCGAAAGTAACTTGCTAATTGCATTTATTCTCCATTAAACTCTAAACCAGTCAAGGACAGGGAACTTAGTACTCATTGTATTTCTAGCTTCCTCTTCACATTTGAATTAAATGAAGTGCACGTTTTAGAATATGTGTTAGAAATTCCTAGAAAGGACAGTGCATGTGTTTTCGAGATGGAGGGTGAGACACTTCATAGGAGGAGTAGGCTTTGAACCACACCTGGTTGGTGGGAGGAGACCGTCATTAAAAAATTTATGTAAAAATAGCCTAAGGGCAAGGGAAAGTGAAAATGAGAGCCCCCAGAGGAAGACAATAAGGAAGAGAGCCTGCTTGGAGTGAAGAGTTCCATTGAGCAACCAGCAGGTCGTAAGATTGGACGTATAAGGTGGAACCAGGCTATTAATAATAGTAGCCTCAGTGCCAAGTAGAGTAGTTTGTGGGCTTTTTGTTGTTCCCGTAGACTGTAGGAACTCTTAACAGGATTTTCTCTGAATTAGATGAGTGACATGAAAACCAGGTTTTGAAACCTGATCTTCTAACAGTCTTGGTCCTGCAGATGGTACCATGGATATATTGGAAGAGGGAGAAACTAGAGGAAAGAAGTTTACTGAGGAGGATCCAGTGTTGTAGATTTCAGCAGAGACCCAGACCTGAACTTGGGTGGTGACAGTGGGAACAGAGAAGGGGAATAGATAACTTGGGTAGAAAGAAGGACTTTGTGCCCAAGTGATGGTGGTGATCAAAGAGAATGAATCAAAGCCGATGGGGTTCCCAGTTTAGACAATTCAGATAAAGACCTTTCTTGTCAAGGCAAGTCAGAAAGGGCCACCAATTTGAGAGGTACATTGAGTTTGATTTGGTACACATGAGCACGGGAACTCTGGGATAAGCAAGTGAAAATAAATTTGAGCCGTTTGCAGATATGGGACTCAGTGTTTGGTGAGAAGATGGGAGTTGTCAGCATTCAGTAGGGATGAAGTTACAGGAAAGGAGGATTTTTTAATGGTGTATGCAGTAAAGACTTAGAGGACTGTTTTCTGATAGTCACTTCCAGGTGGAGAGATACGAAGAAAGGCTTGGTCAGTGAAGCAAGGGCATAATCAGTGAGGAAGAAGGAAAGTCAGGATATTGCAGTCAAGTCCCTGTGATACCAGGCAGGAGGGGAGAGTTTCAGTGAATAAATGCAATACCCAATGCCAGATGTTACCAAGATGTCAGGAAGATATGACCTTGAAAAGAACTATCACAAGTTACTATTTTTTAAATATTGAGTTTAAGTTCCTCCAGGACTTTGAACAATACACATAGGTAGTTAAGGGATCTAGTTTAGCATTAAGGAAGGATAAGCACTCTGATATTGGTAGCTGCATCTTGACTTACTCCCAAATTTTGTGATACCACAAAATACAGAGACTGAAAACACTCCCAAAGTATAAAAGACACTCTAATGAAATTTCTCAAGGTGAATTATTGTTTGGAGTTGGCTAACCCCATGGCTTGTATTTTGATCCTATGACATTGGCTAAATATTTGTTAAAGAAAAATTAGTAGAAAGGAAGATACGCAGAACCTATTGAGTTGACACCTTGTAGATCACACTGAATTCATTCAATACCAGATCATCGTTAGATTTGACAACAGAGTGCCACAGGTGAGCTAAAGAGCTAAGGATCACCTTGAAAAGCTATTGGTATGAAGTTTTTGCATGCTCTTCAGAGGAAATGCTTTTCCCAGTGTTGTGTGCCTTAATCATTTACCTTCCTCCGAGTTTTGTACCTTTCTAATTCCAGTGCTTCAGGAATTGTGATTTTATGTGTGGAATTCATAGGTGGAGTTGAGGGTGTGGGCAGGTACAGAACAGGAATTAGGGAGAATGCTTTTGGTTTTGCGGTGGCGGTATTGTTCTCTGGTGCATAATCCTTAAAAACTCAGGGACATCCGTGCTTTCAATTGGATGGATCACACAGACCAAAAAATCGAATGAGAAAAAGCCATGGATCTTGATTGCTAAGCTAGAAGTATATTTACTAAAATGTAGTCCTAGGTCTTCACCGTGTTTTCTTTTCTGTCATTAACCATTTTTATTTAGAACGCATGCTGATTCTGCAAAATCCACCTCTTCGGAAACCGACTGCAATGATAACGTCCCTTCTCATAAAAACCCCGCTTCCTCCCAGAGCAAACATGGAGTGAACGGCTTTTTCCAGCAGCTCATGACGTACGACTCCCCACCGCCTCGCGCTGCATCCCTCTCCGTAGACTCCAGCCTTTATAACCTGCCCCGCAGTTACTCCCACGACGTTTTACCAAAGGTGTCTCCATCCAGTACCGAAGCAGACGGAGAACTGTATGTTTTTAACACCCCGTCCGGGACCTCGACCGTGGACCCTCAAATGAGGCATGTATCTATTAGTTATGACATTCCTCCAACACCTGGTAATACTTACCAGATTCCACGAACATTTCCAGAAGGCGCCTTGGGGCAGACGTCAAAGCTAGACACTATTCCAGATATTCCTCCGCCTCGGCCACCGAAACCGCATCCGGCTCATGACCGATCTCCTGTGGACACGTGTAGCATCACACGCACGGCCTCAGACACCGACAGCAGTTACTGTATCCCAACAGCCGGCCTGCCGCCCTCACGTAGCAATACTATTTCCACTGTGGATCTGAACAAATTGCGAAAAGGTCAGCACGATTGGCTTCTCCCGGGTTAGAGGTTAATGATAGAAAAATCTCTCTCTCTCTTTTTTTTTTTAACATTTTCTCCTGCAGTTTTTCTTTTTTAAAGATGTTTTATTTATTTATTTTTTTAATTTGTTTGCTGCGCTTTGCGGCAGGTGGGATCTTAGTTTCCCCACCAGGGGTCGAACCTGTGGCCCATGCCCTGGAAGCCTGGAACCTTAACCACTGGACCACCAGAAAAGTCCCCAAAACCTCTTTTTGTTCTTGGAAGCAGAGTGTGATGTGAAAGGACAGTCCGTTTTTCCTTCAGCGCTGCAGGTATCCCCTGAGATAGCAAAGGTGTCAGAGTCTCAGTAAGTCCTGGGAAGTGTGTGTGTGTTCGGCGTGTGCCTGTGTGGGTGTTTCGCTGTGAGGGAAGAAGAGGAGGCGTTTTACAGCCCTGCAGAAGTGTGGCCTTGGTAATACTTAGGGCATCAGGAAGCCTGCGCCCCTGTTTCTCCCTCTCTCCGCATCCTGGGTGAGCAGACCCGGGGCAGAGGAACAGGAAATGGACCAGCCACAAAGCCTTGCCGGTCGTGCCCCTTCCTGCATTTGTGTCCCGTTTCGGCCACTTTTGTGCCGCATCTGTTCGGCTCTGTTTCCTTCCTTCCCAGATCAACAGTTTTCACACTGTGTCTGCCAGGTGGTACTCAGGGCTCCGTTCGTTTCCTTCCCAGATAACAGTTTTTACATTATGTCTGCCAGTTGGTACTCAGTTCCAATCAAGTCATTCTGCTTTTTGTTTATTTGGCTTTATTTATTTTTAAAGCTGTGAATCTTCTGTCTCCCCTTACCCCTAGTAATTTTACCAATTTCTGTACCGTTGAGTCTGGGTTAGATTCTGAGGTTCTTAGAGATCTGAAAATTTTAAAAAAAAAAAAAAGAAGTTTAAAAGGCACAGACCCTAAAAACTATGTGCTGACACTTTTGGATTTCGTGATAGCGTTATCCAGTTGTTTTAAAGAAGATGAAGATCTGATTGATGTGTTGTGAATGGTGCTTGTACCAGTACTTGTCTAGCCATTCAGTACCAATTTCTGACTTAGTCCTCGAAGTGGCTGTAACGTATCTTGAGGTAGCTATAAGTTAGTGAGATGTAAGTTGGACCCAAGGGTGCAAAAGATGAGGAAATAGAAGTATTTCTTTTTCAGTCTTTAGATAACCTGTCTCAGCGTCATAGCCAAATACTACTACTAGTTAGCCTATAAGTGTCTGTATTTTCTAGTTATTTAATGTTTCAATTTAAGATATTTTTCTTTGAGCATCCTTTTTAAAATTTATGTGTGTGAAGTGTGAATATATGAAAAGAGAGAGAGAAGGTCATGCCTGGTTACCCTGAGAACTGGCAAAGATGGGGAGAAAATTGATAGTTTGTTCTCTGTTTTAGATGCTAGTTCTCAAGACTGCTATGATATTCCACGAACATTTCCAAGTGATAGATCTAGTTCCCTTGAAGGCTTCCACAACCATTTTGTAAGTATAATTGACCCTGGCATCATCAAATGTATTTCATCATCAAAACCTTTACACTTAGGGCCCTGAGACTAAATGAGATCCTGAAATAAAAGTCCCTTCAGATCCACATGAATAGGCATGACTTACAGTTATATTTTCCTGTTTGACAATAGTTCTTGCTTATTAAGAGAAATGTATGTGTGTTTTAGAAAATCAAAAACATATTGACAGTGGGAAGTGTATCAAGTGAAGAACTGGATGAAAATTACGTGCCCATGAATCCCAACTCTCCACCACGACAACATTCCAGCAGTTTTACAGAACCAATTCAGGAAGCAAATTATGTTCCAATGACTCCAGGGACATTTGACTTTTCTTCATTTGGAATGCAAGTGCCTCCTCCTGCTCATATGGGCTTCAGGTCCAGCCCCAAGACTCCTCCCAGAAGGCCAGTTCCTGTTGCAGACTGTGAACCACCCCCCGTGGATCGGAACCTCAAACCAGACAGAAAAGGTAAGGAGAGCATGGCATGGCAAAAGGACCAGGGGTTGCCAGTTTAGATCCGCATTTAACTGTCATTAAATCCAAAACAGAATAAGGACTAGTAATTCAGAAGTATTTCACATTATCTTAGTCATCCACTTGTTTTATAGTGGTATTCCTTTTTAGAGATTAATAATTGTTATGTCATATGTTGATGCTGTATGTTTTTAAGTCTCCTATCTCTAGAGCAGAGGTTACAAACTAAAATATTCACCAGGATTGGCAAGCAGTGGAAGATAATTAGGAAAAACTGAAATGCCCTTGCCCCATCCAAATGGAGTAATTAACCATTGCCTGGCGGCAGCGCTTTATGAACTTGTGAAATTAACATAGCTCCTAGAGGAAAATATTCTGATTATCAAAAGATGTCCAAAGTTGGGGGTCCTACTTATATTATCTTTTGATTTCTAAGCTGTACTAACTAATTTAATTATTTGAAACAACAGAACATTGCAGACCACACCACATACACTTTTACAAGCCAGACATGGTCTTTTCTTCCCTTTGGTAACCTCTTCTCCAGAGTATTTGATATCAAAGCAAACTTGAGATCATTAGTGCCCTTGATGTCATTCTTTAAGACGTACAAGGTTGCTTGTATACTTTTTCTATTCTGTCTGTATAACAACTTCTGAAAAATGATTCTACCTTGGCTGGGGTATAAGCAAATGCTTCTGGTCTGTTCTTTTGTCCTGGGATTCGTAAGTAACATTAAAACTATGGTGGCATGGTTTGTCAAGAACTCGATGTAAAAGAAACTGTTCAGCCAAATTGGTCATATATACCCATGTTTTTACAATTTGGATTCCAGTTGTTAAAACCAGCGTGCTGCTGGTGTGATTTAATCTTGACAACCAAATAAGTTAGTATGTTGGCGGTGGGATGCGGGGCACTGTCTCTGGGGCATCCAGCACATTTGAAAAGTCTCATGTGCTGTATGCAGATTTTTTAAAAGCATGTTAATGTTTGTGTAAATTTCTCATTAACCTGGTCTTGGCTCTTTAATAGTTATTCTAGTTAAGTTCCCAGTGTGAGACTGAGAGTAGGAATATCTTCAAGAGAATGAGCTTTATTTTGTTCTGCTGTTAAGTAAATGAACAGAGAAAGTGGGTGGCAGCTGAGACTTCGTCCTGCCTTCCCTGCATTTCTGTCCTCTGGAAGGTCTTTGATCCTGCTTGCTTCTCCCTCACACTCTTCCCTTCTTTCCTGTTTGCTCTGATGCTGTCTCTACTTTCTGTGCTTTCTGCTGTCAGAGTGCTCCGGCCTCTGATGTGCGTCTGTGGCCACGATGCTGCCCCGCGGCTGCTTTTTATGGGCCCTCACAGCTTCCACGCCCCCTGCTGATTGCCTTGTTCGTTACTGACTTACCAGTTCGCTCAGCCACCGTCGGATGGGTCTCAATTGTCCTTCCACACTGTAGATTGGAGGCCAGCCCACGTGCGGGCCGCCTGTGGGTCTGTGCCCATCTTCGGTTAGACAGCTGGGCAGTCGGTCATGTCACACTCCTGGCCATTCACACGGCCCTAGCAGCAGGGCCCTGATCGGGGCTAGGGCGTGAGCATCCCAGGCTTTTTCTGTGATAACTTCTTGTTTCTCTTGGTCTTCATTTGCTTTAAAATCTATTTAGACATCACCAGTCATTTTATTCTTTGCCTACAACAAACAAACGTACGTTTGGGCATGGTAGATTTATAATTGAGCCCACAGATGGTGGAAGGAATAAGATGGAAGTGTTATGAACTCTGTGAAAGAGATCTTCATTTTAATGCTCAGATGATTGTTTTCTTGTTTTCCTCTAAATTATTGGACCTGAGCAGCGGATCGCTAGCTTTTGACACCAAACGTGACGGTTTTACATCCTGAGGTCCCTGCGTAGCTATGGAGGTGGGGTGGTTTGGGTGAGGGACAGAGCCCTGGGTCCTTCGGGCTTTGCTGCCCTCTGGCTCGACAGAGCACAGCTTGAAAATTCCCTGTATATTTCACAGTTCGTGGTTCCATGTGGTAAGCACAACTCAGAATCAGAAAAGATTCCTATTGATATGGAAAAGTTGCAGGATCATAGTGATACACTTTTAGTATCATCTAGGTCTGACAGAGTTCATGGGCCCTGGATTATGGTATATGTTATTTTATGTACAGAGCATAATAATATGGCATGTATACTATACATCATATGTATTGCATATTATACCTCCCTATGTATGTAGTGAAAGTACTATATGTTCTACTACATGAGAGATTATCCTAGTGCTCTGAACCAACCTACGGTGACTCTACTATAGAACTTTTGTAAACTCTACTATAGTTACTTTTGACGATTCTGTTTCATCTTTAAAAAATTAGCTTCCCTTGTGGCCCTGTGGTCAGTACACTGTTCTTTCACCGTTGAAGGCCTGAGTTTGTTCAATCTCTGGTAGGGAAACTAGGATTCCACAAGTTACATGGCACAGCAGGGAAAAAAAAATAAACTGAATTATTGAAAGACCATCCTGAGCTCATGGGTCAGAGGACTGATTTGGCATCATTGCTTAGATACGAAATGAACTGAAAAAGCACCCAGAATAAAATTTCCACATAGTTTTTGGCAAAGAAAATTTTAAAAAAAGGAGAACAGGTTTAGCAAAACAGTAAAGAGGTTACTAAAGTCATAGTAATTTAAAAAAATAAAAAGTGTTTTTGGGGTACCAGTTCCGTCAGTCCCCAGCTGTGAGCCTTGGTCAAGTCCCTTGGCCCTCAGGGACTTGGTTTCCTCATCTGTAAAATGGGGATAACAAATCTACCTTGCTTACCTCAAAAAGTTTCCATGATAATTAGTAAATGTGCACGTGCTGTGCTAAGTCGCTTTGGTCATCTCTGACTCTGGGACGCCATGGACTGCAGCCCGCCAGGCTCCTCTGTCCATGGGATTCTCCAGGCAAGAATATTGGAGTGGGTATCCACGCCCTCCTCCAGGGGATCTTTCCATCCAGGAAGAGTGTCCTGCATTGGCAGGAGGGTTCTTTACCTCTAGTACCACCTGGAAATACTGCATGCAAATAGGAAAAAAAAGTGTGCTTTGCTGTTCTTTAGCACTGCTCTACTTTTGAAAATTAGTATCTGATATGAGAGGAAACATGAGAAAGTATTTAATACTGCAGGGCACATGTTATCAACTCACTTCAGAAAGTTATAGCTATTTGAGAAAAACATTTTAATATTCAGATCTTAGAGAAAAGTTTATCCTTAAAATCTTAAACTATAGGGATTTCCTTGGTGGTTTAGTGGTTAAGACTTCACTTTCCAGCGCAGGGGTGTGGGTTCAATCCCTGGTTGGGAAACTAAGATTTCGTATGCCTCAGGGCTAAAAAAAAAAAAATAAAAATAGAAGCAATATTGTAACAAATTCAATAAAGACTTTAAAATACTTTTTTTTTAAGTTAATTGGCATACATTTAAAAACAAAAAAGTTCACCTATAAAAGGGTCCTGAAATTTTTCTCACTGTGCATAGTATCTGATGAGTCTGTTTTCATTTCAGATTTTGTGACATCAGATACATGACTCAATCTGTTATTCTAGTATCTGTTATTAACTAAACCTCATAATAAGCAAACCTAGCACTATAAAATATGGCTTCATTAGTTTCAAAACTCAGTATAACTGATTCAACGCTCAATATAACCAGTTTCTGTGATTGTGTTTTTGGGAAGGGTCTACAGTGGATGAGTGACATTCTAGTCTTGTTTATACTGCCAATTATGGATGTCAGCTGCTGTAATTAGTAGTTAGCAGATGTGTTTTTCAAATACTTCGAGTAATTGAACCTACAGAAATACATACATGTTTTAAACACTTATATTTAATGTATTTTCATGGATCCTTTATCTATCACCCAACTGTAGTAGCTATATTTTCACCCATACTATTTCTGTCACAAGAGTGTTTGTTCTGAGCCATGCCTTATGTATATTAATAGAGGAGAAAATCATTATTTACATGTATTAAATATTAGGAAAGCAGAGGAGTCATTGGAAATGCAGGACAAATTCTGTTTTGATTGCTTCAATTGAAACTTTCATATTTTAATGGAAAAGCAGTTTTGTAAAGTTTGGAAAATTTCTGTGAAATATTGTGATTTCTCTTAAAGTAAGTCCTTACATAAACCTCCCAGCTTTCATCCCTGCACTTTGCTAGGCTCATTCAGTCTCTAACATGAAATATTAATAGCAGCTGTTCAAGCCTCAGGTATGCTGTCTTTTTATTTTGTTTCATTTGGTTTTGTCCATTTGTGGCTTTCTACAGTAGTTCTGACCTCTAGTTGTTGTACTGGTTTTTCATAAAAGCAGTGTGAGCTTTTCTCTGGTGTTTCTGTACATTAGTTTGGTCAAAGTATCTTCATGTCTGGCTAAATCTTCACTTTGGTGTAGGAAGCACCCAGAAGACGTATTGAGCAGCTTCCCTAGGTAGATCCTTTTGGCACACTTGTATCTTAGATAAGAATATTTTTCAAGGGAGCTTCTATAGAACTTTCTTGAATGTTGTTAAAAAGTAACATGCTCTTTTAAAGATCATGTTTGCACTATAATATATATTTGAAAGATGGATAAAGGACACCAGTAAATATAAGCAAGTATTAAAGTTTGACGCAAGTCAGATTTGTGGATTGATGGTTACAGTTTAAAGGACATGAGTATAGAGGGCGTATTTATAGTACAGCCTCTGCCTTTGGGCTTTTTTTCCTTTTCCTGACCTTCCATTATGCCTCAGCAGGTAAATGCATCTCCATCTGCAGTGCAGGAGACCCAAGTTTGATCTCTGGGTTGGGAAGATCCTCTGGAGGAGGAAATGGCAACCCACTGCAGTATTCTTGCCTGGGAAATCCCATAAACAAAGGAGCCTGGCGGGCTGCAGTTCATGGGGTCCCAAAAGAGTCGGACACAACTGAGCAACTAATGCTCTCCAATATAGTTACCACAATTATAGTCCCCTTTGTATAAGACCATTCAAACAAGTGTGGAAGATTTCCAGTGCGCTACCGTGATTACTTCTTGGAATTAACAGAGACGACTAATGTTATGGATTAGTTTTCTTCTTTCTTGGTTTTTGAGGTGCCTACTGGAAATGGTAGCATCATCTTTGAAACTTCAGATGAGTAAACAGGCTAAGTTAAACCTATAATGGTAGAGAAAATAAATTTTCCACTTTGAGTTGAATCTATGTAAGTAAAAATAATACTTGAGTTTTCTCTAGGAGTCCAGTGGTTAAGACTCTTTGCTCCCAACACAAGGGACACAGGTTTGACCCCTGGTTGGGAAACTAATATCCCGCATACCCTGCAGTACAATGAAAAAAAATTAATAAAAAGCATTTTAAAGTAAAATAATACTTAATCGTGTGTGGACTTTTCAAAAAGTATTGCATCTGCTTCTTTGAAGCTTGACACCTCGTATGACTTGACAGCCTTGACCATATTTGGAATGATCCACTTTTGAAACAACATTCAGTTGCTTTTTGTTTTTTCCTCTTCAGAGACAAGCACAAAATTATCACATTGATCAGATTAAACACAACTATCAGATTAAGCTTTAAGAGATGACACTTCATCAAAACAGATTGAAGGGTCTCCCAGTGACAGAATATACCTTCGGATAGGTTTGAGGTCTTCAAGCCAAAGGAAGAAAAGGTAATTTAGAAGCTCCCAGTTTACTGGAGGAGGTAGAAAAGTAAACACATTATCATAATTAGCACAAAAAGACACTGTGGTTGAGGTAAACTCTTGGCACTGTTAGCTCCCTCCTCTGAGGAAAGTCTGAGAGGATGAACGGCAATTAAACAATGATAGAAGATCTTCTAGTTAGAATCAACAGCGTCCCCAGGGGAACACAGGACTGGCTTGGGTGGGAGGGAGGAAGTTAAGAATGTAGGAAAGAATGCCAAAGGCCTGGCATGTGCTGGCTCCTGGTGGTTCTAATAGTCCATGCTAGTGAGTTTGGACTTTATTCTGAGAACACAACTGAAAGGTTTTATGGAGGCAAGTAACATACTCAGATTAGTCTCTGGAAAGTTCATTCTAAGATTTAAGGCTATGATAGGGAAACAATGGTATTTTTTTTTAATGTAAAATGTTATACAATCATACTTCTTCAGCATCTTCTTTGAAGAGTACTTTGCCAGGTTTTCAAAACCCAGGGTTCTAGAAGCCTCACTTTAAAGATGATCAGACAGGAACGCATTAACCAAAGTCCCTTTTGTGGTTCTCATTGCTGCCTCGAGTCAGGGACCTAAAGTGATTTTTTTACAAGCTTGGAGGGCACTTGAAGTATAGATGGAGGTCATTTAGCCATACGATGCGAGTTCATCATTTTCTGAAAAACAAACCAAGTAAGTAAATAAAGTGCACATTAAAAATGGAAGGAAGCTTCAGGCTTCAGATTTTGTCATTTTCTTGGCTGAAGGAAAATAAACTATTGTCATTACAAATAGAAATTTAAATTCATATAGGGAGATTAGAGAGAAAGTGAAATCCATAGTAACTCCTAAGAGATCTGCCTCAGCAAGTGGAGAGAGGGGAAACAAAGCAGATATGTGGTGGGTTGGAAAAGCTAAATTTCATTTTTGAGCATGTAGTGTGAAAGCCTACAGAACCTCCACATGTGGGTGGCTTTGTCGATATTCAAATAAGGATCCTGGAGTAGATCTGAATCAGAGGTTTAAGACTTATCAGGTTGCCGATCACATGATCCAGAGATTGACAATCCTGGGTGAGATTGCTCTTATCTATAAGGGTTACAGTGCAATGGGGATTTCACCACTAGTCAGTACTGCTTGCTAAACAAAATGTGTCATGTCACTTTCTTTGTTCAAAACTAATCTAGCTAAAAAAAAAAAAATAAAACTAATCTAGCTACAGCCCACTTGTAATTGCCTTGGATTTAAAGGCTGAGGCTCACATGAGTTATTATTAACCCTCAGAATTTGAGAAGAGTGTATCCTCAAAGTTGGTTCATTCTTTTGCCTTTACTTTAGTATTCTTATTTCTTACTCTTTATTTTCACTTTTCTTAAGTAATCAGAGAAACATTCAAATAAATGTTTGCCTCCAGGCTGTAGAACAGAAGTACATATACTTTGGATTTTCTCCTTTCTCTCCTCATAAGTATTGGGTTGACCAAAAGGTTCATAACCTGAATTAACCTCTTGGCCAACCCAATCATATTGAGCCATCATTTGAGTATCATTTTCATGTTCATTTCAGTCTGCCTGCCAGTTCAGGAGATGAGGGTTTATCCCTGGGTCAGGAAGATCCCCTGGCAAAGGGAATGGCAGCCCACTCCAGTATTCTTGCCTGGAAAATCCTGTGGACAGGGGAGCCTGGCAGGCTAGGGTCCATGAGGTCGCAAAGAGTGGGAGATGACTGAGAGACTAATACTTGCATTTCTGTCTGGAATGTAAATGTCAGATTGAGCCGGGCAATAAAAATACAAAGAAATGAAGCCACCAAAATGCCTAAGTGACTAGGTTCAATTCAGGACCTTTTCACCTTTAGACATTTGTCCTAAAATCAACCTGAACTGTTGCATGGAGTAGAAAATACATGTAAATTTTATAAATGCTCTGTTAAAAAAAAAATTCACTTAACAAAGTATTCTTCTATGAAGACAACTAAAGAGTACCTTTAAGAGTACCTGTGAATTAGGGAATTTTCCTGTTTTATAAGCTAGAAAATAATATTTTCAAAAATTTGTAGATTTCGGTCAGTGAGGTGCTTAGCTATCAATGTTGAATCAGCAAACTAATTTTGCCATCTAATATAGTAGATGTCAACTCAGTTTTGTAAATGCCAAGAAAAAAGAGAATTTGGTATCGTTGAGAATAAAATTCCTGATTGAAATGACATTGCCACTCCAGCATCTCCAGGCTTTCAGTGGGAAAAAGTGTGACGCCAGTTGCTGGATGGTAAACCTGTACTTTTCATAAGGCTTTTCAGCAGTACTTGTTCATGGCAGAGATTGGGGGTGGGGGGAGGGGGCAGCCTGTTGCAGGGGTGGGGCAGGGAGATAGCGACTGAATTTATGCTCTCCAATTCTCAAATTAAAACTTGGGAATTCGCTGGTGATCAGGTGCCGGTGGTTAGGACCCTGTGCCTTCCCCGCCAAGGGCATGGATTCAGTCCCTGCTTGGGGAACTGCAAGCTGCATGGTGCATGACCAAAAAAAACAAAACAAAACAATTCTCACATTAAGTCAGATAATCAGCAGTTCTGGAATCTAGACATCTAATCCTTACAGAATGGCATCACAGGGAGCCACCGAGTATCCGGGGGAGATGAACTCTGGTCTTGGTTTTGACTTTGGATTTGCAGACACTATAGCATTGCTTCTCTAGAAGCGTGCTTTCAGGAGATGAAGGAGCAGTCAGATTAAGGTTTTTAAAGCACCTCCATCGAATTAAGAAAGCAGGCCTTGGTACTTTCTATGAGACACCAGACTTCAAAGAAAAGATGTAGTTGCTGCCTCACTGTGGGGTTTTATCATTTTTTCTTCAATCCGATTTTCTAAAGACATGTTAGAAGGAAAACTAACATGGCACATGTTTTTCCTCCATTCCTCCAAATAAAGATAACAACTAACTAGGTGGTTATGTCACTAAAACCCTACCATCTTTTATAACAGTTTGCTTATGACATTGTTGCATGCAACTTTCTGGTTCCTGTGGTTTTAAGCATGAATGATATGCAGTAGCAAGACTGAAATAGTCTACACAAACAAACTTTGTTGATGCTTTTGAGATGTAATGTTTCTGCTCAGGGCTCTGTTGCTTTTTTACAGAATCCATTTTTTTTTCCAATTAAAAAAATAACATTATATTAAGAGAGTCTTCTTTTTACCAATTAGGTCAAAGTCCTAAAATTTTAAGACCCAAACCCCATGGTTTAGAGCGAACTGATTCACAAACCATAGGTGACTTTGCTACAAGAAGAAAGGGTATGTACTTTAGCACCGCATGCTGGATGGGGTGTTGGGAATTTATTTATTCTGTGATTTTTTTTTTTCCTTTAAAAGTAAAGAAGAGTCTTAAATTCTATTGCTGTTGGAAATAAAACTTACCAGCATATACTCTCTAAAGTGAATGTTTCCCATAATATACAATGAGTCTATTTGTTATGCCATTAACAGCAGCATGTTAAATATTTGATCATGTATGATGTTGAGTCTTGTCCTTTCGCATTATTCTTTTAACCTTTTAGACATCAGTACAGTGATTTCTTTAAGTTTGTGAACTGCTAGTGAGTTCCAACTGTCTCCTGTATTTATGTATAATATATATATTCTGTTCTGAGACAATATACAGTCATTTCCATGGATTCACTATTTTATGCCATTACTTAGAATTTGACAGCTAAACTGCTATTTGTCTTTGGGCTTTAAAAGAAATGAAACATCAGAGTTAAAGAAATGCTTTCAGTATAGCACAGTATTCTATACATGTCCATCTTAAAAGTATAGATGAACAAAATTATTTTAACTCGAACTGAGGCCAGTGTAGCCTTCAGAAAAATACATTGAATTTTTTTGTATTTGAGTTGACAAGAATACTTTGGCATAAGCCTCATTGAATCTACATAAGCCTTTAAAATGGCTACCTGTTTTATAGTTTGAAGGTAATTATAACTTGGTGTTTCAAAGTACATACGTGTGGACAAAGGCTGGGGGAGGGATACCGAGGAAAACAATGAAAAATTTTTTTCTTTAGAGTGGTAGGATGAAATGTAACTATAAAATGTTTACCTAATATTTTTAAATAGTCTCCTGAATTATAATGAATATTAACAGATGATGTTGTAGTGCTTTTGCTTATTTTCTGATTCTGGAATCTGAGTCTTACTTTGAGGGCAAAGAGCTCCATGGTGTGTACTAGCAGAGTAATTAATTCTTGCAGTAATTAATTGCAATAATGGGGTAAGTGAGTGAAGACCTCTTACAAATAAAGCTAATGAGAATATTAGCACTTATTTTTACTTAATTTGATAGAGGATGTTGTTGGTTAAAGGAAGCGAAAAATTTGAGGTAGTTGTTTAATTTTATGGCCTTTCTCAGATCTGAGTTTGAGTATAAAGATGTAATTACTGCTTTGTTCTATTTGGTTCCAGACTGGACCTGAATTAATTTCAAAAATTCAATCATTGATTCCTTTTTTCAGTTTTTGGTTTTAGCAAAGTGTGTTTATCGCTTTCTAAACATCATTTTGTGTGTAAAGTTGTACACCTCATGCTTCAGTGTGGATAATGAGGAACATTTTTACATAGAAAATTAAACCTCTGTGTTTGATGATAGCATTAGTAGAAAAAATAAGGAAATAATGAAAATTATAAATCAAATAACTATGAATGAATTGTGCCACATTACTCTTTCTTGTTCTCATTAAGTTTATAGTCATAAAATATTTACTTCAATTAAGAAGCAGCATGTAATAATAGAGCTTTATTTAGACTTTCAGTAAACAGTCAGGAAATTATCTAATTTAGCGATTGTCCCTAATTTTTTTAGCTGTGTAACCTTGGAGAAATCACATAACATCTGTGAATTTCTTTTCATGTGAAAACTAGCTGGTCCTAGGTGTACTCTGGCTATAATAGAGGTGTAGAAAGAAGGTCATGTTTTCCAAATTTCTATGTACTAAAATCTCATTTTTTCTCTCTTGTTTCAGTCAAGCCAGCACCTTTAGAAATAAAACCTTTGCCAGAATGGGAAGAATTACAAGCCCCAGTTAGATCTCCCATCACTAGGAGTTTTGCTCGAGAGTAAGTCTTTGTATAAAATACATAGCTCAATTGTTCTTTATAATGGAAAGTACCTAAAACAGCGGTTCCCAAAGGATGGTCTGGGGAACCCCCCGCTTTTTGGGTTTCTGTGAAATCAAAGCTATTTTCTTTAATATATTAAGATGTCATTTGCTTTTCCACTCTCCTCTCATGAATGTACACTGGAGTTTTCCAGAGGTGGCTAAAACTGGGTGATATCGTTGTGACAGCTAGTAGAGTATGCCTTTGTGTATGCTTGTGTTTAAATTTTTTTCTATTATTTGTAATATGGTGAATATCAATAGATATCACCCTATAAACAAAAGTTCCTTGGGGTTCTCAATAATTTTTAAAGAGTGTAAAAGGTTCATGAGGCTAGAAATTTCTGAGAACTACTGATCTGGGAACTATGGTAGTTTCTAGTGAGGATTATTTAATAAAGATTCATTTAAATATATATGTGGAAATAAAAAGAATGTACACAGTTACTAACCTTTATTGATGTGTTCATATTTTATATGTATGAACAAATTTTTTTAAAAAATAGGAATTCTAAATCTCCCTTTTTAAAGCTGTGACTTTCTATTTATCCCCCATATCATTATCCCCCATATCACTAGCAATACTTTTTTTTTTTTGCTCTGCACAAGGCTATTAGATGCTCAGAAACATCCCTTTATGGGGAGATGTGAGTTCAATCCCTGAGTTGGGAAGACCCCCTGGGAGGAGGACATGGCAACCCACTCCAGTGTTCTTGCCGTAGAGAATCCCGTAGACAGAGGAGCCTGGTGGGCCACAGTCCAGAGGGTCGCAAAGAGTCAGACATGGCTGACGCGACTTAACACAGCACAGCATCCCTTTACAGAGGCCTACTTGCAGATGTAGAAAATAAACTAGGGTACCAGACAGGGTGGGGGAGAGGAAGATGGAAAGGGAAGTAGGAGGTACACACTCCTGGGTGTAACATAGGCTCAAGAATGTGTTGTACAACATGGAGAATATAGCCAATGTTTTGTAATAACTCTTAAGTGGAAAGTAACCTTTCAAAGTTTTTTTTTTTAATATCTGTAAGTTTTTTTAAAAAATATCTGTTTACAAATAGCTATAAATACTAGTTGTGTGTTTGAACATCTGCAATAAAGTATACTGTCATAAATATGGATAGTGAATGATTACAAGCTTCCATATTTCCGGGAGGAACATGCCCTCTCACTCACTCTCGCCATGGAAGCGAACTGAGAGACCTGGGCCGGGGCCTGTGTGTGTGACGACCCTCTCTGCCGTCAGCTCCTCCAGGTTTCCGCTGTCCCCCCGGCCGGACTCCGTGCATAGCACAACTTCCAGCAGCGACTCGCACGACAGTGAGGAGAATTACGTTCCCATGAACCCCAACCTATCCAGTGAGGACTCCGTAAGTAGCGTCTTCTCTGCACATCTCTCTTCCTCAGCTCAGCCTTCCTCCCAGTTCATACATGTTACCCATCCACCTTTATTTACTTCAGGAAAAAGGACACCTTTTTTTTTGGCTTTGTATATATTTTAATTAATTCCATACTGGAGAGTGAGGAATTTGAATAAGAAGTTAAGGAGAGTTTTAAAAATGCTTTTGAAAAGCAGATCATAAAGTTGAAAACAAATATAGGGCTCAGAGTGTGATACTATATCTACAAAGTAGATATGTTAGGTAAAAATGATAAAAAAAATTTTCCAGTTATAGTTCTTTTCATATGTACTTGATGTTTGAAACCATTCAAGAAAATGCTTTATACTGGAAGCATTTTATAACGCATTTCTCCAGGCTCACATCAGGGAGCTCAGGGTGCTTTGTGTATTCACTTACACAAAGATCTAAAATCAAGCATTCATGAGATGAACTCTTAATGTTCATTACGGGTTGAAAATTAAGTTATGAAATTCACTTAATTAAGCACCTGAAATTCAAGTTATGGTACAACATTACTAAAGACATATACATTGTAACAGTAACAAAAATATGCTTAATACTTGTATGTATTTTTTTTCAAGAATTTTAGAAAAAGCACTAGTATTTTTTTTTTTTTTTGGCCATAACACATGGCATGCAGTGATCTTAGTTCCCTGACTAAGGAACCAAACGCTCGCTCTCTGCAGTGGAAGTGCAAAGTCTTAACCACTGGGCCACCAGGGAAGTCCCAACTTTTTTTTTTTTCTTTTAATTCACAGAACATTTCACAATAACTCCTAGAATCTTAGGGTTTTTCTAAACTCTTTTGGGAAAACACTGCGTTGAAAACTAGAAGGCAGACACAGACTGTTCCCAGTTGAGATTAGATAGAGAGCAAACAGACTTTTTTGTTGGAATATAGATTTTAACAATACTTAAGGATGAAAAAAATTCCAGTTCTATTAATTATTAGACAGAATACAATTTAAGTAGCAATTCTGAGAAATTCACTTTAGGAACAACTTAGATTAAATGTGCACATCAAATGAACTCAAGGGTTCCGTTCATAGCCTGCAACACTGTGAATAATTCTGTATGTTTTCAGTTAGGGAAATTCCAGGTATGAGCTCTGTCGTTGCATTTGAATACAAAATTTCACATACTCCCACACACAGTCCAGCTTGGTTTTTTTATATGAGCATGAGATATGGAGTCATTTAGAGAAAAAAATTTCAGTTTTTCATGAATTAAGATAAAGACAGGGTTGAGGGGGAGAATAGCTATTTATACTAACTGAGGAGTAATATTTGCTTGCATTTTTTGTGCCCTGCATGTACTGTTAGTGCTTTTCTAGTGTTTTATTAGCAGTAGTTGATCAATTTGGTTTAAAAACCTACTCCTACAAGTAGGTCCATGACATTCAGTAATGCAGATTGTCTACTGCATACACATGCCAGCAAACCACACACACACACTGCTTTTGAGTACATGCAACCCAGACCATGTCCTGCTCCCTAGGCTGTGGGTCCTGGGGGCAGAACTTTGTTGCCCCAGAAAGGAGCACTGTTTACTGATTCATAAAAATGTTTCACACAGGCTGTTGGCAGCTCTGTTTACAAATGAGTGAATAAACTCTGTTTTCTTAGCAATCATCCTTTCCCTAAACCACGTTTTACTCTGTTTAACCCAAAAGAAAGGGAATAGCAGTATGAAAGAATCAACAGAAACAGATTTATGTAGCGTTCCAATTGTGTTGGTCATTCAAACAAGTATAAAATTGTCAAGTTGATTACATCAGTTATGGTTTTCTTCAAAAGTATGAGCTAACATGTGAACAATAGTATCTGTGTGATAGAGGGTACAAGGTGAAAGCCCCTAGTATGTAGTGTCACCTAGGAGAAGTCAGGAACCTTCTTAGTTCAGGTTAAAAGCAGCAAGGCCTGGGAACAAATCATTTATTGGAGCACATTTGAAAGCTGTCATAATCAGAGTAGAGGGTGTATGCAGGGATATAAATTCACATCATCCTTTCCTTTTTGCTTAGTATTGATCGTCATGTTCCTAATAGCCTATTTCTTTTCTTCATTTTTCTGCCTCAGGCTTTTTTGTTCTTGTTGTTTAGTGCTTCCTCTGTCTTCCCTTTTTCTTTTTCTTTTCTTAGACAGTAGTCCTTCTATTGTACAGCCCCTGTTAGGGACAGAAAGATATGGCTGAGAGAAGACAGAAACCAAGTGGTAAAAATTCCAGATGGTTGGAAAATTGTCTTTGCCAATAGAGTCAGTATTCATAGCCTTTAGTTACCATACTTTGGCATGAAAGCCTTTAAATAAAATGTAGACCTTTAAGAGAAAATTTTAATTTAAGAAGATGTGAGCTCAGGTCCTTTCCACCATCTTGGTCAATCCCTAAAAAAAAAAACAATCAGAAAATATGGACTAAAGGATCCTATAGTTAAAGAATGTAATTGAGTTCAGATAGCATTGAGGTAGAACCATTCCAACTAACTATAGCTTGACGTCCGAGGCTTAGTCTGAGCCAAGTGTTACTCTTCAAACTACTTTTAGCTCGCTTACCTAAGCTTTTTTTTTTTTGGCGGTGGTAGTTGTTTTTAAATTTTATTTATTTTGGGCCACCCTGGGTCCTCATTGTGCACGTGGGCTCTCTAGTTGAGGTGCACAGGCTTCTCGTCGCGGCGTCTTCTCTTGGTGTACACCGTGGGCTCTAGGGTACATGGGCTTCAGTAGCTGAGGTATGCAGGCTCAGTAGTTGCAAGGCATGGGCTTGATTGCCCCAGGGCATGTGGAATCCTCCCAGACCCAGGATCGAACCCATGTCCCCTGCATTGGCAGGCAGATTCCCAGCCACCGAACCACCAGGAAAGTCCCAAAACTATGTTTTAATCACTTTTAAAAATATTACTTATCTTTCCCTGTCCCAAAATACTATCTTCTATGGAGATATTTCTTCAAGCTATGTTCTCCTAAAATTAATATTTAGGCTTATATAGATGGCAGACAAGGTTAAGAGCAGCATGTCTCATGAATGTTTGACAGTTGATTTTACCATATTGTACTTTCAGAATCTTTTTGGCAGTAATAGTCTTGATGGAGGAAACAGCCCAATGATCAAGCCCAAAGGAGACAAACAAGTGGAATACCTAGATTTAGATTTAGATTCTGGGAAATCCACACCACCACGTAAGGTAAGTGAAACCTCTTTCTATAAGTGTACTTAGCTCACGTGTAAAACCTGAAGAACTGTCTGCTTTGAGGGAATTCTATTAGTATGTTTAATTTAAATTTAGAAAAGCCTATTACTTAATGCCTTTTTATAAATCACAAACAACAGTTTTGCAGATTAATTTACTTTTTCATGTCTAATGGCATGGAAGTTACATACTTTGTACTGTCTTGGGGATTATCATTAAAATGCTTGCTTAGAAAATTCTGAAGTTCCACAGTTAATCATGGTCTTCACTCTCTTTCCAGTGTTAGTTTACTCAAATTACTCCCATACTGACTTTGTCCAAAAGTTTTAAGTTTTTTGTTGGTGGTGTTATACTCACGAAGTAGACGTTATTATTAGTTGTAATCTTATAATATCACGGAGGAGGAAATGGCAACGCACTCCAGTATCCTTACCTGGAGAATTCCATGAACAGGGGAGTCTGGTGGGCTGCCCATGGGGTTGCAGAGAGTCGGACACGACTTAGAGACTAACACATACACACATTCTTATTATACAGACACTGTTCATTTACACTTTCCTGCATTAGGAGCACGGAGTCTTAGCCACTGGATCACAAGGGAAGTCCCTAATTCTTAAATGTAAGAATTCTAAAATTAGTGGGAAAGCAGAGTACAGTTAGGATAGTGACATCATCATTAAATTGCAGTAGTTGGTGTTATTTTTTTGGTGAACCAGAAGAATTTCAGAAGTTATTCACAGTGTGTATGTGCTCATGTTTTAAGACTGGAGTTCATGCAGAAGCACTCCTTCTGTGGGAACTTGTGGGATTTTTCCTTTGCTTTTTAGCAAAAGAGCAGCGGCTCAGGCAGCAGTGTTGCCGACGAGAGAGTGGACTATGTGGTGGTTGACCAACAGAAGACCCTCGCTCTGAAAAGCACCCGGGAAGCCTGGACCGATGGGCGGCAATCCACAGAGTCTGAAACACCAGCCAAGAATGTGAAATGAAAAGACTGCTTTGATGTGTCTGAACAAAAGAGGACTGAACTGTAAAGAGAAATCCTGCTTGACCCGAGATAACTTGACGCTTCTACTCTAGGTAGATCCTCAACTAAGTAGAGTCAAAGTCGGAGGACCTTTCAGGCTTAATCAAGCTGTCAAGACTGTAAATGGTGCTTTGTGGTATCTGAACAATTCATCACATGTAAATAATGTGGGAAAATACTATTGTAATGTGGCTCCCAGAGAAACATTTGTTCTGTAGTTAACACTCTTGTAGTATTACTGTATTTATGCACTTTTTCATTTGAAGCATTGGTTTGGGTGTTCCCAAGTGGACCTTAACATGATTCTGTTGGGAGTTCTTGTTTTTTCTCACACTACTCTTAAGAGCGATGCTGAGTAAACTAAGCTACTTTCCCATTGAGAAATTGCTCTTTCACCTGCAGGATAACAACATGGCCCGAGAAGTACCTTCACAATCTGCCATTCTACCTGAAACTTCGAGGGGTAATCGTTAGCTTAAAATACAAAGTAGAGTTGAACTCATCATTCAATGCCTTTCAAAGTGTTGAACGAACATCATGTCCATACTGGCATCAGGACTTAGTTCTCTGGTTCATGGACATTTAGTTTCCAGTGGTGGAACCTTGTTATATTGTGTTAATTACAGTGTTTTTGGCTCACTGAGTGAAGATTCTGCCAGGTGGGCTCTTAGACCTTGGAAAGAGTGAATAATGACACTATCAAGTAAGTGTACAAATCACTGATGGCATGTGGTAAGGATGTGCTTTCACACTTGTTACCATGTATTAAAATTTGCAAAGTGTAGATTATACAGCTAATCAGGTACGTACCAGGCACTGATGTGCTAATACACTGATCAGGTTTATGCAACAAGCTTTAGTTGTGTTCTTGTTAATCCTCTAACGTTGTTGGTTTCCAGTTTGGAATTAATGACACAGTTGATATTCACTGTTAGTTATAGCAACATACTGTGACTTTTAATTAGACAGTCATGCAGATTTATTGCTCTAAGAATGAAATTCTGTCTTTTGACACCATAGTGCCCTTTCTATGGTTTTTTTTAAAACTTAATATTCTTCTTGGCCTTATCCTATTTAAATCCCTATGCAATTAATGTTTTATATCTGCGTTGTTGTTTTTTTTAAATAGATGTTATATAAGTGATTCTCATATGTAGCACCTATATTGCTTTTCCAGTAAAAAAAAAACATTAACGATTTTGTACTGTGATTTATATTCACCATCCCAATTCAAGAAATAGTGGAGCCTTGCTATAATGTGAAATCTTATAGCCATGGACTTCTTCCAACTAGATTTCTGAAACCACCAGAGGTATCATATAATTCTGTCTCACCTATAACACGGTCCTGTGACATGGATATCAAGACCACACATTATATATAGTGAGGCTATAATTTATCTGTCTTGGCTTTGCAATGTAATTTAGAAAGCAGATATACTTGTTGGTTTGATTGGGTTTTAAATACATTACATACAATCTCTTATGTACTGATTTGAGACTTACTAACAGTTTTTGGAGGGGCATAGAGATTGGAGAGCCTACAGCTGAGTCACGTTCCCCCACCCCACTTCGGACCTCTAACTGTTGCCTGAGAACACAGATGTGCCCTGATTTCTGGCCTCTTGGCCACTGTATGGTGCCTGACTTATGTAATGGGTTTATGTCCCCTCCATGAACTAAAAAAACATTCATAACAAGATGAATTGTAGATGAATAACATTTGATGCTTTTAAATGTTTGCTTCTTTTTAAACAGAAACTAAACCCAGAACTGAATTTTGAGGTGGGTTTTTAAATAAAAAAGATTGTTTGAGTTTGGTGTGTGCAAGCTGTTTTATAATGAAACCACAAAATAAAGTAAAAAATCATTGAAATGTTCAACTATCAAAACACACAACACAGTTTTTAGTGTGAGGATACTTACTTGTGTTGCATGGAGGATAAACATGTTTTGAGATTTAGAATGTAACAATAGATATGTGACTAATTCAGTTAGAAATATTGTTTTAAAAGTGACCTATCAGAAAAGCCTAAGGCAATTATGAATTTTTTAGTGGAATTCCTCAATATTTTACAAGTTATCATTTTTGAAGACCCGCAACACTAATTTGTAGAAATTTTCCCATTAGGCTGAGTAATTTATGAATTGAAATGTATTAGGCAGTATGTTAAAGTAAATCGCATTAAATACTGGATTAACAAATTAAATGGAAAGACAGTCTCTTACAGAACAGTATCTCCCAAACATTTTTTAGCACTAGAATCTTTTTAAAGTAAACTTTGTATAAGCCCAATACATAAAGCCTGAAAAGTCCGTTTAATCAGTGTAATCATATCTTGAGTCCACATTTATGTGTGCTTGTCTTAGTCCATTAGTAAGAATCTAACATTGATCTCTAAGTAACACAAATGTGAAGTTGAGATTATAGTTGGTGAAGCCTCAGCTGCCAGTCTGTTTCTTTGCCTCGTTATTTAAGTACTATCAAGAGAATTTCGATTCATGCAAATGTAAGTAAGTAAAATAATAGGGTTTAAACACACATTACAGGAGATTCTTTAACTAGAGATAGTTATAGTCATATTCCCAGTTTATACAAAAGTAAATTATTCTGGTAGTAGAAATTTATATATAAGCGGTCTCCAGTGTAGTAGAATTTTTAGTAAGTTTTTAAACTATGCACTTTTATAAAAACCAAATTTGAATCAAACATTTTTAATACCTATATGTGTGCATGTGTGTATGTATATATACACACATATGCGAGCATGCTCAAGTTGTGTCTGACTCTTTGCAACTCCATGGACTGTAGCCCTGCCAAACTCCTCTGTCCATGGAATTTTCCAGGCAAGAATACTGGAGTGGGTTGCCATTTCCTTCTCCAGGGGATCTGCCTGACCCAGGGATCAAACCCATGTCTCTTGTGCCTCCTGCATTGCAGGCAGATTCTTTACCATTAAGCCATTGGGGGAACAGACCCCTTAATCCCTACAAGAAGCTGAGTTTTGGCCAGACATGTGTTGAACACCACTTGTTAACCATGTAACAGTTGAGTTATGAATCAGAAGTCTTTTTCTACCACATTTATGCTCTCTCCCTTCTAGTCTTTCTTTTGAAAAACTGTACAATTTCATGAAAGTTTGAATACCAGTGTGCAGTGCCACTTTAAAAAATCAAAATTCGAACTTGAATAAGCTACTTAACCCACAGGAGGTATCACTCAGTAAGTTATAAAAATGGTTTTTATGTACATGCTATACATTTTCATCTTTATTTTTCATCAATACTGTATAAGCCACTGTAGGCATTTTAGAGACTTCCATAAAGGTACTATGAGTGTGTGTATGTACACATAGCATTGTATTTAATCATAGACTAATTAGATACAGAAATACTGCCATGCTTATACAGTTATGTCGTAAGTCATAATTCCCTCTGAACTCTTTATATTTAATTCATGGGAGCTTATAATCATCATATTCATAGACTCACTCAAACTGGAAATTGAACCCCAGTGTTTGTTTTTCTACTAGTGGGAAGTTGCCTGCATTTCTTTAGCAAAAATAGTATTTTTTGTTTTGTTTAGCTATTCACTATTTTATGCCTGTACACTATACCTTAGGCATAATGCTTAGATACTCCCAGACACTCTTAGTGCCTCTTTATTTGACCCATTGGAAGCATCAGTGTTAGTATTTCAAGTGAATTATCTTTTTAAAAATTTTAGAAACAGCAATGTGGGCCAATTCTTTTTATTCCTACCTTCGGGTCATTGTGGTTGGTCTTCTCCTCCATTGTTAGATAAGCAGTCAGCTTGTTAACAGGACTGACATAACATGACCAGACCAAGTGGATCCAGAGAGAGGGGCGTCATACTCCAGAAGAACAATGACATCTGCTTTATGTAAATCTGTACATAATTTAAAATACTGACAACTGTGAGATGAAAAGCCATGGTGCAGATGAATACTTTAGACACCATGGGCTTGTGATGATGAAAAATCACTTGTCAGGTTTTGAGATGATTGATTTTAATCTGATAAATATGTTTCTATATTACTGCAACTTGAAATAATTCATCCTCCATAGATCTATCTTTCTTTAGGTTCAGTATGGTGTATATTATGAGTTTCAACAGTCTGTTTCATCAAGGGATTGACCTAGCTTCTTGCTTGCTTTACTAAAAAGACATGGCTTTGTGTGAGTTCTTGTAACCTAAATCGATTGTTGATAACCATCCCAAATTTCCACAGCAGAATCTTATGTATAAATTTATTTCTCCCTTCTTGCACATCTTTTTTTGTAAAGATCCGATTGTCGATATTTTCTGCTACCAAATAAAACTTTTCAAACAATTCGGTTTCAAGACCTTAAATACTTAATTTGGATTCTGAGACTGTGAACCAATAAGGACGTGTAAGTTTCTATTTTCAACCCTTCCTTAGAATCTTTATCTAAATCAAAAACATGATTCTGCTGTTAACTATGCTTCCCAGTTCTGCTTCTAGAGGGTCACTCATTTTCTACAATAAAGATCCCACTGACTGAATGAGTGTTAGTCGCTCAGTCGTGTCCAACTCTTTGCAACCCCATGGACTGTAGCCCACCAAGCTCCTCTGTCCATTGAATTCTCCAGGCAAGAATGCTGGAATGGGTTGCCATTTCCTTCTCCGGGGGATCTTCCCGACCCAGGGATCAAATTCAGGTCTCCTGCATTGCAGGAAATGTGGATTCTTTACCATCTGAGCCACCGGGGAAACCCCAAATATCCCACTAAACCATGCTAAAATGTTAACAGTCATGCTCTAACTAAATACAAAAACCTCCTGAGACTGTTGCCCCATGCATATACCCTTTATTTCTTCATCTGTTCAGTCCTAGTGGCACTTTGTTGAGTAAAAGGCCAGTAAGTGAGAACCTTTGGGTCAGGAAACACATTTCCAACATGACTTGGGAAATTGTA